AAACAAACAAACAAACAAATATCCCGCCGGTCCGGAAAAGGTTATTGATAAATCGATCGAGGTGTTTTGAGTGAGAACCAATAATGGCATCAATAAAAAAAAAAATATTTTCTATGATATTTTAAAGGCTGTTTTTGTTTTTAATTTAATTTGTTAATGTTTTTAAAACCTACGCTAAACATAAAACGAACTTAGGATGGTCTAACAACAATGACGTCACAATTATTTAATAACATGTTACTACAAGTAAGATCGTAAAGTGACTAATTACTCTGGCAAACTCGCTTTCCCATCAAGTTTTGGGCCATATATTCTAATCGTCGAGTTATGTATGCAATTAAACAACTTTTTAAGTGAGCTAAATCTGATTATCTACTCAGTGTAAACAAGATGTATCACCAGACTTTGGTATTTAAGTTCATTTAATAATTTAAAAGAACTGATCTGGATTTCCCTGGAGACCATTTTAATTTATCATTGTAAACCTTGTCAAGAAAAAGTACTAAACAGTATGAAAATGACCACGAGAGTTGAGGGGAAAATATTAGATTTATTCAACGTTTCGTTTTGCCGTTTCTTCAGAAATGCTCTACACAAATTCTCGCTTTTATTTTATCTATTAAACTAATTAGTTAATACTTAATACACTCTGAATCTTGTCTGCAAGAGAAACCACCATAGTAACTTGGTTTGGTTGATATTAAGCACAAAGCTATACAATGGGCTATCTGTGGTCTGCTCACTACGGGTATCAAAACCGGAATTTTAGCGTTGTAAGCTTGCAGACTTATCGCTGAACCACTGGGAGGGGGTTTGTTTGTTTATTTGTAATTAAACACAAAGCTATACAATGGGCTATCTATGTTCTGCCTACCACGGGTATCGAAACCTGGATTCTAGCGTTGTAAGTTCGCAGACATACCGCTTTGCCACTGGGGGGGGGGGCCTGGGAGGGGGCAGAGTAAACAATAAAAAAAAACAGCTATTTAACTGATTTATTCTGCAGAGCTGCTAACAGAGTTCGTACTTATTAGCAGCGTATCTACGAACTTCTGTAACCTGATTTTTCGGTATTCAATATTATAGTATTGTATACAAAGCTGTAACTCATACGGTAAATTTTTAACGAATTTTTAGTGACGTCATTAACCATAACAACTAGACATACACACACACAGTAAACGAACCTTTTGCTCATTACCAACAGTTCTTTCCAACCTGTACAGCCACAGATAAGAACATAATTCAAGTATTAAAGAAAGGAAAATGCGTTTCACAACGCACTGAGGAGTTGTACCTTTGACATATAATGCTCTCGTTCCTTCGTTAAGATCAGGGAAAAGAAAGGTGACGTCAGGAAACGTGAGGATTTGTGACCAAGAATCTATTCAAAGTGAAAAAAAAATAAAATAAAACAATAATATTAATCGAAAATTTGGATGAAAAAAAAACAACAACCCTCTTAAAAAATGATAAGATTAAACCGGAGGAGACCATCAGTTAAGAAACAGTTCGGTTTTAACATGTCTTAGATATTCATTTCTAAAACAAGTAGATATTGTGCCTGGAACGTTAAATCGGGTTGAACAGCCTTACGCAACTCGTTGCAAATCGATAGATAACGAACGGCGCGCGTGGCACAAGGGCTATACAGCCGGAAAATGGGTGATGTTGAGGATGCGCTTTAGAGTTTCGTGCTGCACGCATTTAAGTCTGTCTCCATTCGCTCGTGCCTTGGAGTCTCAAACATCTCATACCAACATCGGATCCAACGAACCTTGACGAGAACGTGACTGTATAACGAACAGGTTTGTAAAGAAAAATAGTTAATTTTTGTATAGCTTTTGTATGTCAAACAACGTTAGGGTATTTTGTATTACAGTTGAAACTTCGCGTCGTTCGAGAACGTGCGTTGTAAAGCATACGTATAACAATTTGAATATATAGTGGTTTGGTAACTGGTGTCACAATATTCCTCGAGAGTACAATGACATGCAAAAACAAAAGAAAACAATGAGAAAAACCTGATGTTAAGCCTACGCACTTTGTATGTATTGAACAGTGTGATGCTGGAGACGAGTGGATTTAAACGATCCGTTCACAATACCTTCTTGCGTCACTGACGATCACTGTTCTCCTGAGACGTTTGAAAATCTTAGGTACGTTTCTTATCCAAGAGTTATGTGTAGCTCGTCGAAAGTGTTCTAGAAAAGGGCAAGAATTTCTAATTTTCGTTAACTAAAAACAACAAAACTATTAACGTTTGGTGAGATTTAGTCCAAAGTTAAAGAAGAGGTATAAATGTAACTATCATTACAGCTGATTTTATAGCTCAAAATACTAAACAATGAAAATTACTTTTTAATTAAAAAAAGAAAGTAAGGACGAAACGGCATATTTTGTTTACTCCAAGAACGTTTCTACTAATATTTTTGTGAATTATTTCACGACCGTTGCTGCATTTTTCTTGAATTGTACCCTAGTATTTCGTGTTTTGAGGACCTTTTTTGGCTGATGTTTTCGTGGATGGTACCACAGTCTTTTGTGTTTTGAAAACGTTTTGGCTGATGTTTTTAGAGATTGTACCACAATCTTTCGTGTTTTGAATAATATTTTCGCGGATAGTGCCACAGTCTTTCGTGTCTTGAGAACGTTATGGCTAATATTTTTGTGGATTGTACCCTAGTATTTCGTGTTTTGAGAACGTTTTGGCTAATATTTTTGTGGATTGTACCACAGTCTTTCGTGTCTTGAGAACGTTTTGGCTGATCTTTTCGTGGATAGTGCCACAGTCTTTCGTGTCTTGAGAACGTTATGGCTAATATTTTTGTGAATTGTATCCTAGTATTTCGTGTTTTGAGAACGTTTTGGCTGATCTTTTTTTGGAGATTGTACCACAATCTTTCGTGTTTTTAATAATATTTTCGTGGATAGTGCCACAGTCTTTCGTGTATTGAGAACGTTTTGGCTAATATTTTTGTGGATTGTACCACAGTCTTTCGTGTCTTGAGAACGTTTTGGCTAATATTTTTGTGGATTGTACCACAGTCTTTCGTGTCTTGAGAACGTTTTCGCTAATATTTTTGTGGATTGTACCACAGTCTTTCGTGTCTTGAGAACGTTTTCGCTAATATTTTTGTGGATTGTACCACAGTCTTTCGTGTCTTGAGAACGTTTTGGCTAATATTTTTGTTGGATTGTACCACAGTCTTTCGTGTCTTGAGAACGTTTTGGCTGATATGTTTTGGAGATTCTACCGTGACCTTTCATACTTGAAGAACGTTTTGGCCGATCTTTTTGTGAACTGTTCCATGACCTTTTCAGCTGTAGGGGCGTTATAATAGTGACAGTCAATCTCAATATAAGGTTATGAGTAGCCGTGTAGGTGAAAGGTCTCTTGGCAAGTTGTCCTTCCTCTGGTCAGCAGTGGTAAATAATGGAAAAGATTATACTTGAACCTGGCCCGAACGAAAACTTTATAAATATATTTTATATATAAAAAAATCTACAGGCTTTCTATAGAGAAACATCCAAGTTTGTCTTACAGAAGACCTGTAGAATTGTTTTTAGGAAACACAAAAAATGCTTACTAAATATCTTAAAGAAAGTGGGCCATTTTTCTATAATCATATATAGAGCCCCCCAGTGGCACAGCGGCATGTCTGAGGACGTACAACGCTAGAAATCGGGTTTCGATACCCGTGGTGGGCAGAGCACAGATAACCCTTGTGTAGTTTTGTGCATAATTAAAAACAAACAAACAATCACACATAGAAATTCGAAATGTTTCTGAAGACATTCTATAAAAAGTTCTTTGTTATAACTCCAATAATTTTGAAAACTTTCTATAAATTTAAATCACCCTATTTATTAGGGAAATAATTCGAAATGTTTCTGAAGACATTCTATAAAAAGTTCTTTGTTATAACTCCAATAATTTTGAAAACTTTCT